AATTTTCATAAAAACTGGCAATTTTCAATGACGCCAGTGAGCCCTTATAAGAAGTGAAAGTGCATTTATTAAATATTCGGTTTTCTGAAACAAAAATGTTGATGTCTTCATTTAGAAAGAAATGAAAAGGAATTTGAATGAACTTTCAACAATTTAGAGTCAGCTCTCTCATTTTAACAGGTGTCATGGTGGTGGTGTCATTTTGTCCTTCATTTTCAAAAGGGACCAATGACATTACAGGGTGCTGTGTTAATTCATGAGTGAATTGGATTTAAGTGAGGCACAGTTGCACAAAGTCAACAGCCTCCCTTCCAGAGTCATCAAAGTCCACTGACAAGACAAAAATTAAGATGCCTGGAGATGGCCAGGATGTGGTAGATGACCTTGGCATCTTCAATGTCTGACCAAGCTCTGACCTCTCCACAATGCCTGCTTCAGCTACCTTCATGGCCATTGGAACAAATTATTCTTGTGTCATGATGTAGTGGATGGTGAACTGGACTTGGAATTAGAAAGACCTAGGTTCAAATCCAGTTTTAGATACTTACTGTTATGACCTTAGACGAGTCACTTAACCTCTTGTATTTCAGTTTCTTCATCTGTAAGATGAGAAAGGTGGACAAAGTGGAACCTGAGGTCCCTTTCAACTCTAAATCTACGATCCTATGACCCTAATAGTCAAACATCTTCTAGCCATGGATGCATTTAATTCTGATTTGACTAACGTTTTCTAATGCAAGGATTATAACATTGATTTTCCACCTAGCATTTATTTGCTCCTGAAGGTTATTGCTCATACATATTACTGCCTGATGAGCACAAAGTGACTTAACATTACAAGTTCAATTATATTTCTTGCTGGTTTTTAGAAGAAATGTGTTGATTATATTAAAGTGGATAAATAAATATTTAAATTGTCTTTAGTATATCCCCTGGCATAACAAAATACTTTTTTTTCAAATGACAAAACTCCATCATTTCAAATGCCAAATAACTAGTGTGTATTTTCTCCCAACAGAATGTGCTGCCCATGCTAATGAGAGATTTAGCCTGCCTGTTTGCTAATCACTGAACTCTATGTCCACAAGGACTCCAAGATGAAAATCTAGACAGATGAAATAAAAAAAAATAAAACACAAAAATTCCCAATGTCTGTGCAGGAACCATGTGGGTATAAGAATCACGATTTAAAATGACTGAAATTATCCAAAAAATAAGAGTCTAAGTAAACAAAAGAAGGCAAGAGCTTCTGTAATAATTATTTAAGAAACAATGATTTAAAAACAATGATTAAAAACATTATTAAAAAAAACCCACATGCAACTACACTGAAAAGAAAAGCTTGGCACTCTGTCTCTTTTGCAATCAGGTTTAAGTGACTTGCCCAGGGTCACACAGCTAGTAAGTGTCAAGTGTCTGAGGCTGGATGTGAACTCAGGTCCTCCTGACTCTAGTGTTGTACCAACTAGCAGCCCTGTGACTCTATCTTAAACTCCTCAAGTTGTTTGGATGATGCAGTGTGAATTAAGGTAGATAATGCTTTATCCGTCTTTTATCACTCAAAAAATTTCTAGCACTCTCAAGGCTGAGAGTCGTAGTTTTAGGGTAATATTTTCTCCTTTAAAAGTGTGTTTGGTGCACACTATTTATAATATAACCAAACACATGTTCCGCATATCTTAAGAATATGAATTTGACTTTGTCATATCAATTAAGGAGAGCTGGACTCTGGACTTGCTTTTCTATGGGGATCAGCTTATATATCCCAGAGTATCCATTCCAATGATAACATCTATTTGTTCAGACCCTTGCTTTGAGGACCTTTACGTGCAATATTTAGCCTCAATCTTTTTTCATATGGCCTATGTTTTCTACAGATATTTCTCTTTCAAAGATCAATTTCAGCTCTGTGGACAGGGCAATGCAGAAATGTGGGTAGGAGGACCTGGGAACTATGGGTCCCAGTGTTGTAAATCAGGTAATTTAAAAGGCTATTCGTGCCCAAGCATGTTGTTAAAAGATTCAAACTTGACATTTGAACCACCTGTGGACACAGTTAACATTGCTACTTATATCAGGAGATTAGACAAAATTGTCATATAGCCCATTGTACAAAGGTCAAATTATTTTTATGTAGCTTGAATATGAAAAATCAAAGGTGTTAAGTAGTTATACATATATGCACATGTATATATCAGTCAATCAATAATTATTCATTAATTGCCTTACTGTGTGCCAGACATTGTTTGGCACTGAGAATAAAAAGACAAAAATTAAATTGTTCATTTTATCTAGCAGGAAGGGAGAGAATAAGTACTTATAAAGCACCTATTATGTGCCAGGCACTATGCAATGCACTTTACAAATATCTCATCTGGTTCCTACAAGAACCTTGGGATGAAGAAATACTTATTATCCACATTTTACAGATGGAGAAACTGAGGCAGACAGTAGTTAAATGACTTGTCCAGGATCACACAGCTAATAAGTGGCTGAGGCTGGGTTTGACACCAGGCCCAGAGCTGTATCTACCTAGCAGCCAGAGTAGATAAAAAGTACACACAAGTAAGTTCATACAAAAGGGATAGATAGGGAGTGGACCTGCGATTTTATTGGAATAGAGAACTCCCAGATGAGAAAACTCACTCTGCTAATATGGGTTGACATCTTCTCTGTGTAGTCTTAGAGAAGGTAGTATCATTTTAGAGAACTATCTAAAGCAATTTCTCTCTGTCTCTCTCTGTGTCTCTGTCTCTATATCTTTACCTCTGTGTCTCTGTTTCTTCTCCTCTTCTTCTCTTCTCCCTATCTGTCTCTTTCTGTCTCTCTGTTTCTGTCTCTGTCTCCCCCCTCCCAAGTCTTCCAGCTCCAGAGTTATGGCTATAATTTCATTGGCACATAGAACTCCCAGCATGAAAACTCCCTCTGTCACTGCAGTTCCTAAATTAATTATTGTTGTTGTTCAGTCATTTCAGTCGTGTCCTACTCTTTGTGACCCCCATTTGGGGTTTTCTTGGCAAAAATATTGGAGTGGTTAGCTATTTCCTTCTCCTATACATATAGTCTTAGATAACTGTCTAGGGACACTGAGTAAAGATATTTATTTGTGCAGGGCTACAAAGCTAGTCTTTGTCAGAAGCAAGACTTGAACCCAGGTCTTTCAGACTAATACTGGTTCAATACACACTAAGTTCCTTTTATTGTACATATTCCTTAAGCTTTTGTTGATTGTTTCACTTGTGACATACTTTCTGAGCATTACTAAATATTTCCTATTCTTTCTAATAGAACCTGTAGGATGAGGGCATACTTTAAGCTAGTTGCCTTCCCCCCCCAAAAAAAAGCAACAACACAACGTTTTGGTGTGTAAGAATCAGAGACATGACTATTTTATTTTTAAAAGCAGTTGTTGTTGACAAAGTCCAGGGAAACTTGTGGCTGATTTGTGTTTTGGTCAAGGTATGTGATCTCATGGTTATGGGGAAAGTGCCAACACCATGAAAATGTGTAAGCTGAATATGAACTACAGTCATTCGAGAGTTGCTTGGGACTTTGAGAGATTAAATCACTTGTCTATGGATAAGTTATTTACAACAGTAGTTAAGAAGTGGGGTTTATATAAAACCAGTATATGTGAAGGGGGTCAGGTTTGAACCCAAGGCCAGCATTCTGTCATATGGTCATAGATCTAGAACCAGAAAGTATTTTAAAGATTATCTAGACCAACCACTTCATTTTATAGATAAAAAAATTGAGGCCCAGAAGTTAAATGATTTAACCAATTTCAGGAACACAGTAAATGGCAAAGCCAGGATTCGAACTCTGGCTTGGCTTCAATCCTTCAAATTCATCCATTACCAGTAGTACTGAGATCTAGTCTAGCACCGGAACACCTTTCGCCAATGAGGTTTCATTATTCCTAAACTGCTATCAGTACCATCATTTTTCTTATCCTAAGGGTTTTCTAGCACTGGTCACGTGATTTGTGAATTAAGAATTCCTATTATGACAAAATGGTGACCGTTGCACTTACAACCCCCACCCTCCATTCAAAGGGCGAAGGGATATTGGGAAAGGGGCAAAGAAGGGAGGCAGAGAGAGGTCATCAAATAGTGGATTCAGACAGGCCATTAAATGAATAACAAATCGAATGGCCATTGTTTTAGATCAGGGTGTTACATAAAGATAAAATTAAATAACATGTAAAACACTTTGAAACCTAATGGGCTATATAAATGCTGGCTGCTTTTGTTTAAAGAGGCCTTATTTCCCTAGAATTGAGAGGTCCAGACTGCTCTTTCTATTTTGTATCTTCACTTCCCCTTCACTTTTGACTTTTAAAAACACATTCCCCAAAAGTAAATTGTTTTCAAAGAAAAATGCTCTTTGGGTTTAGAACGTGACACTCCTCGGTGGAGTAACCTTAAGTCGGTTACCTGTAATAGCCACACAAGTATACATTCCAAAATTCTATTTTAAACATAAACTTATAGGGCGGTGCGGAAACATCAATATCATTGTCAATGCCATTGTTTCTAATTAATCAAGCAGATATTTGGAAGGGGACGGGGTGCGCAGAGGGAAAGGGGAAGAAGGGAGATTTTTTTTTTTCCCTCAAAGTGGCAGAGAAGCATTAGCATCAATTTACTATTCTGCACAATTTCTCATAATGGCCAAGCCCTTCGAATGTGGATGTAACGGGCGAGTTCGAGGAAAGGGCCAGATGGAAGTGATGGTAGGGAGCTTCCCTGAGAGTGAAAAGCAAAGTTGTGGGGCCCTGTGGCCCCATGATGGCTAAGGGATAACTGCTCCGCTCCGCTCCTGGCTGCTCCCGCTGTTTGGATGGGGCTGCACATCACCTAGTAGTCAGTCCCTTTCCCATCTGTCTCCCAACCCACCCCAGCCTCGTCTCTCCTCCTCCACCCCAGTACCTCCACATTGCCCCTCCTCCGCTCTTCTGCCTGCCTTCTAGTCTCCCTTCCCCCGCCCCCGCCCCCCATCCCCTCCTCTTTTTCTCACTATAAGCAGCCGCGGCTGGCTGGGCTGAGAGTCATTTGAGCTCCCACCGCAGACATGGCGACGTTGACAGTGGTCCAGCCGCTCACACTGGACAGAGGTAAGTGCTGCTCACTCGCCCTGGCAACTGCTTCCTCTCCTCCAGTCTGTCTCTCCTCCCTCTCCTCACCCACGGCCAACTCCCAGCCGGGCAGAGCCGGAGGTGCTCAGCGGGCAGGGCTGCCTAGCTGGGGCTTTTCGGAGGGAGAGGCAGGGAAGCGATTGCGCAGGGAGGAAGAGCGATACTTTTCCTCTTTGCCTTCCATCTATTCAGCCTGGGTAGCCACAGCCCCGCTGCCCCCGTGCGCTCCGAGCGCTCGGCTTAGCTTGGCCGTGGGAGCCCGGAGTCGGTGGCTAGCCGGCTTCACCTGGGCTGGGCTCCTGTCTCCCCCTACCTTCCCGGTGCCCCCGCAGTTGTTCCCGCCCCCTCCCCCGCATCTGGCTTTGTTTCCGCCGCTGCGATGGGACAGCTCAGAGCCCGGGGCTTAGGTTTAGGGGGAAGTGGAAAGGATGAGCCTTTTGGTGGGGGAGGGAGAGTGCAATCGGAGAGTGGGGAGGGAAGGAGGGAGAGAGAGAGAGAGAGAAGGAAGGAAGGAAGGAGGAGGGCTAGCTGCCCGCCAGCCTCTCTCCCCCCGTTCCATTTTCTCGTTGGTATTGGGGCTGCAAAGAAGGGCACTCCAAGAATAGGGGGTGAGCGTGCAAAGGACAGGGAAGTTTGCCCGGACGACCGCCTGCCGGGGAAGTGTCTGTCCATCCCTGGCCGCTGGGCGGGCGCACTCTGGAGGTCGCCCCTGCCGGGTGCTCCCTGCGGCTTGACTGCTCCGTCACCGAGCTGCTTCCCTCCCTTCAAAGGGCTATCTGAGCGGCCAGGGTCGGAGCCGAGGAGAGTGGGGGGCAGCCAGGTGCCTAGGGGACTAGTTTCCTTGGTCCCTTTGCGCTCGTAAAGGGCAACAAGGAACGTGCGTCTTAGGCTAGCTGCCAGCGAGCTTTTCTGCGAATGGAGCAAGCTGTTTTTTCCTCCCCAGCTGACTGAGCATCCCCCTAGCTCCGATGCTCCGTGCCCGAGCGTGTAACAGCTCTGGGAATACCCGTAGATTAGGTTAAAATTAAACTTCAGACCCTTTGAACCTATTCCTCCCCACCCTATCTCCCTCCAACCCCCACCCCACCAACCATATGGGAATAGAAGAGAAGCAGTGTTCGGCTTCTCAGGCAGCACCCGGGTAAAAGTAACCTATGTGGTCCATATAATGCAAATGGTCCTCCGATTTCTATTTCTTATGGCAGCAGAAGAGATTGAATGTAACTTGCTTTTATTTGCTCAGTTTTCTTTTTCTGATTCACCGGGCCGAGTTTACCCGAGCTCTCCAGCTGGTTCCCAGCTCACACTCTGCAATGGGAGGGCATTCCCTTCTTTCCAGTTGCAGCTGGTGAATTTAGGACCCTGAGAAGCCACTGGGGAATGGTGTGCTCGGAGGGAAATGATTTAGTCCTATGTGCCTCTAAAAATATTCTTTCTAGAGGATTAAACCGGACTGTAGGGCAAGGCACAGAGCACCCTGCTGTGAGCACAATGGAAAGAAAAAAGAACTCAGTTTGAGATTTTTAATTTAGAGAATTAGTAGGTTACTTTATCAGAACCTATTGGGGCTAGAACAGATGTTGTATGGTACCCATAGCAACCTTGTACTACGATTGTAAAATTTAAAAATAAATAAATAGATTTCACAATGGGAAGAAATGTTGGTCTGCAACATCATAAATTACTAAGTTTACTTTGCTCAGAAATGTATTGTTTCAGTTCATGGTTCACCTTCAGTATTATCATCTGCCCAACGCAGAATTAGTCCATTGCCTTTAACAGCTAACCAGATGGCAAGCCATTAGTAATCATGAATTTCTCAAGTATTATTGCTTTAATATTGCACCCCTCATAACGTCCCATTTTTAAGCTAGTCTCTGAGCATTTTAAACACACCAAACAAAACACAACTTCTAAGAAAACACAGGCTGAAAAGGGGCTGCATAACATCATGGGTGGCGGGTTAGCCGGGTTGTGTAGAAAGCCCAAGGTTTTAGCTAATGCCACTCTACTCCATGGCCATAATTGTGTCGGATGCCTGGCATTTATATTATGATTTTAAGTTTACAAGTGCATTTACGTACAGGATCTTTTTTTCATGCGTTGGGAGGGGGTGGGTGAAGAATATGCCGGATTTGGACTAAGGGGAGTTGTGTTCTAATTCTGACTTCTTGACCCAGTGACTTAAGCGGTCATATTAGATGAACTCCCAAGATCCCTTCCAACTCTAAATCTATGTTCCTATGACCCTGTGTGGTATAGTAATTATTCCCTTTTTACGGCTGGGGAAACTGAGGCTAAAATAATAGCTAGTATTTACATAGTGCTTTAGGGTTTGCAAAGCACTTTAATTTCTATTATCTCATTTGACCTTTATAACAATCCTATGAGTTAAGTTCTATTATTTTCATCTTTTTACATGCGAGGGATCTGGTACTGAGAGAGAGGTACAGTAACTTCTCAGGGTCACACAACTAGCAAGTATCAGAGGCATATTTTAAGTACAGGTCTTCCTGATTCTAAGTCCAGCCCTCCCTCCACTACCTTCTCAATTGACTTGCAAAAATGAGCTCAATTAATTAGTCCTGAACTAGCTATTAGAAGGTGAAGGCTCATCTCTGCACTGATAAGCGCTGGGGGCTGCCAGCATAGCCATTCCCTAAGTGACAGATAAAGCCTTCAGGGTGGTGAGCAAACTTTGCCTGGTACTTTGGTTACTGCAGCCTCTTGTGGAGGGATATAGACAGGTGCATAAGTCCTGTTGGAGGACCTTTCTCAATATGTCATTTAATTGGTTGGGTTGGGATCCTGTAAGAATCGCTGTCATGGGAGAAGCCACCCCTTTGTGCTGTCATAGAAAAGGGAGTGTCCAAACTTTTTTTTTTAATTGTGCCTTTTTCCTCTCTTGGCAGGCAGTCCAGTAAGCTACCACAAAAATCGGGGGGGGGGGGAAGGAAGAGTATGTTTTATATAGTACTTTACAGTTTCCACATACTTAATGTTACATTTGAACCTCCTCACAGTCTTCTTGTGCCGCTACCTGGATGGGTACTATGTGACCTTGATCGACCCCTCCCCCCATGTTCTTGACCTGATTTCCTCACCTGTAAAGGAAGGGAGCTGGGTTAAATGATCCCACAGGCCACTTCAAGTTATAATACTTTTATTCCTATTTTAAAGAGAAGGAAATTGAAGCTCAATGAGTGAGTGACTGAAGAGCCCAAGGTCACATAGCTAGTTAAGAGGCTCTGGCAGTAAAAGAGCCTAAATCTTCTGATCACTAGGGGGAAAAAAATTAAGGGATTATGGATTAATGACTTGTAGTGGTATCTTTGCACATTAAGACAGTGCCAAAAAATTATGCTTTGTTTAGAAATTATTATTAAACAAGAGAAAGGGACAATATATCTTCATATTATTCATTTTAAAAAATAAGAGTTTTACATAGGGGTAAACAAAACCCTTTAAAAATGACCTTGCATTTTAGAAGTGAAATGAACCTGTGGTAATAAACTGATTTGAGTAACAGGTTTATTATTATTATTATTATTATTATTATTATTATTATTATTATTGTTTCTTAGTTTGGGGGCTTTAGAAATGGACTAGGAACTCAACTCCTATTGGATGTTTTTATTATTTTTTTTTAAATTAGGCTATCTAGGTTGACAGTTTAAAGAACAAGGAAGTTGGGGACTGGAGGTTTGGAACAAGGAAGGGAGATATGGAGAAGACTCCAGCTAGGTCTTCCTGGAGTATAGGCCTTCTGATCCAGGCTGCTCTCCCAAATGCTGAAGTACGTTGGTTCCAGAATCCCTGCAACTAACATAAATTGGAAAGCCAACTTCCTTGTGCCCACACACTCGTGCAACACTCTGAATGACTGAATGCTTCTGTGTAACCACATACTTTAAAACAGAGAGAGCGTCCCTAGAATCATCCTGTAGGGGCCAGGAAAGATCCCCTGAGTATCCTTCAAAGCTGAATTCAAAAGCAACCTACTTGAGGCCTTTCCCAAACCCTCGGCTGTTAGTGCCTTTCCTTCTCTGTTTTCCCCCGTCCCCCCCCAAAAAAAAACCTTGTATTTTGCAAATAATTATGTACAGAGATAGGTTTTCTGCTGACCCAAATCTAGCACCAAAATAATCAGGTTTTTCTACTTACACAGGTAGATAAGAAAGATAGGAATGTGGATTTGGGTGGGTAAGGAACAATGACCTTGTTAGTTTAGCTTCCTACTTTTAAATCTTTTTTTTTCCTTTTGGTGGCTAACCTAGTCCTGGGAGGAGATCAAAACCCTTCCTTACAGATAACTAATTTAGAGTTCAATATTTATCTAATCCCAAGATCCTCTCTGGAGCATGCAAATAAATTTGATACAGAACAAAAGGTAAGGTAAGGCAATTAGGTAACATTCACTATCCACTTTGCTCACATTCATCTTTATTATATATGAATGGTAGATGTACCATGAATCATTAGGGTTGCAGAGGTATGATTTCACACCCTGGCTATCTCTGGGGACACATACACTCCACTCTGAAGGACATTGACCACTTTGGGAGTAATACAACAATGCCTGGGTGGTCCTGGAAACAGGCCCCATGGTCACCAGGAATCACCAGGGTCTAGGCTTATTACCCAGCCATACTTCATAGAATGGCCAGGATGTCACATATGTGTGACTGTCAGAAGTAAAGCCTCTTTGCTTTGATGATGCTTTTTGGCCACAGAAAAACCTGAAGCTGCCTACAATTATATAGGTACACAGTGTCTCCCTGAACTGTAACCTCCCTGAGGGCAGAGTCAGGTGTCTTTTGTCTTTGTACCCCAGTGGTATACCGAACAGTGTTTGGCACACAGTAGGCTCTTAATAAATGCTTGTTGGGGCAGCTAGGTGGTGCAGTGGATAGAGCACGGGCCCTGGATTCAGGCTGAGTTCAAATCACAGGCCTTCAGACACATAACGCTTACTAGCT